AAAAAAAAAAAAAAAAAAAAGGAAAAAACTTCTAGGGGCTCCTGGGTGGTTTGGTTGGTTGTCTGCTGTCGATCTCAGGTCTTGATCTCGGGGTCGTGAGTTCGAGCCCCAAGTTGGAAGCCGCACTGAGCATGAAGCCTACTTGGGGAAAAAACAAAAACAAAGCAAAACAAAACAAACAAACACCACACAACAACCTTCTAGAGGTTGTGACAATTGTAGAATTCGGCCCCGAGAGCCATCTCCCCATCTCTGTGGTGATTTTTCCCTTTGGTTTTCAGATTTCTTCATTGTTTTGAGTCTTCTCAACAAGAAGACATCTAGCTGAAAACTGCATTTTATCATTACAGGGGAACTTTAAATGATAAATTACAGAAATACAAACGTGTCATTTGGTCCCTTTTTCGGACTGGTGTGTGTTTGGGGCGGGAGGGTCGCACCGAGGTCACACAGCTGGTGAGTACCAGAGAGAGGATTGGCTCCCAGTGTTTGCGGCTCTGGTTGAGGGGCTCTTTCCACTAGAATTCCAGTTTGGGGGGGGTGGGGAATCATGTGACCTGATGTAATCGTACGGGTGTTTCTCTGTCAGAGAGGTGGCGACCTCCCCAACAAGCTGGCACCTCTTGAGCATGAGGGCCAAGGAACTTGGTCATTGCTGTCTCCTGTGGGGTGTTGGGCGGTTTGGAGAAGCTAAGTGTCTTTGCGCAGAGCCCAGCGTGGGCTGGTCACTTTACCTCTGAGATCTGTGACGGGGGCACCCGTCTAGCCTTTTCTGCCATCCGAGGCTTGGGAAGCCAGCTGTTTTCATCACCTGAACCAAAAGGCCCAGCTTGCTTGTGTGGTTCCTCAGGCCGTGACTCCAGGCGGCCCGGTGTGGTGGAACCGGCTCCGGCCTTGGCGTTGGAAGGCCAGCCGTGTCCCCGCCACACGTGTCCCCAGACCGTGGACCAGGCAGCACATCGCTCTGAGGCCGGCTCTGTCCCCCGTAAAGGGACTTGCTGCCCCCCCGGCTTGTGGGGGTTGAGTCTGGATAACGGAGTCAGCTCGCTGTCCAAGCAGAAGCCATTTATGGGTGGAGGCAGGTGCGAGCACTGGGGGTGCGCAGGGTTTATAGAAACACGGAGCTGCGACCTTTGTAGAAGAGGATGTTCGGTGACCACAGTGGTTCTTTCTCTTTCCTCCCTGGGCCCTCGGCTGCCTCCCCTGCCTGGCATTTTCCTCACCGCCGCCTCCTCGCCTCTCTCGCCAGGATGATCCGAGGGAGGTATTCTTGAGTGCTAGTAAACAAATCAGCTTGAGCAAAACAAGAGCCGCTGACTCAGATGAACTCTGGTGAGGCTGTCTGTGTGTGCCCTGCCCCTGCGTCAGGAAGCGTGTGCGACGGCTGCTCGTCTGTGAGGGCCCGTGGTGGCCCGGGCCGTCTGGGGACCCGCGGTTTGGGATACGCACCATCTCCAGCCCGCCAGACGCAGCCGGGTTTTGCCTGGGCCGGGAGGCCCGCTGCCTGGCTCAAGAGTTGTGGTCAGTCTCCCTGCTCAGGGGAAGGTGCGTGTCCACGTCCGTGAGCGCGCACCCAGCTCTTTGGTTCCTGACCCCCCAACAGAGCCCATGGAATTTAAAACTGGCCCCGTTCCCTGAGCTCTGGTGGGTACCACAGATGCTTCCTGACCCTGGATGTGTAGATGTTCCTTCCGGCCCGGTGGTGGGTGGGTGGGTCTTCTTTCCACGGAGGGGCACTCTGGAACCCCAGGCTGCTTTCATCCCGGCGCTGAGGACCACGGAGGCATGTGGAAACCCCATAGGGAGCCGTTCACGCTAACGTGGACAGCCAGGGTGTTGGACTCATGCAATAGGTTCCTCTTGCACGAGGAGGAGGCGGAGACCTGTGACCCTGGCAAAGCCTCACACCCCTCCACACACCCCTCGCCCCCACACGCACATAACATGCTGAGGCTGGGACGGTCACGGACTGCTCAGGGCCCCCGTCTCTCTCTCGTGGTTATTATGACTGCCAATAAAACTTACACAGCAGTAGTATTGTTTTAAAAGCATTTGACCTGCATCATCGCTAACCTTGGGAGATCGGGTCGAGGCCAATCCTGCAGAGGGTGGTTCGGAGAAGCTGAGTTTCTCTGCCCGGAGCCCAGCACGGGGATCTGAGAGCAGCGTTCTGTCCGCTACGCTGGACTGCCCTACCCGAAGTTGTTGCGGAGCTGGGACCGGGATGCGGTAGATGCCTTTTTGCATCTTTCCTCCTGTCCTGCTGGGCGTCCCATTCTGATGTGGTGGGGCCACTTCCCAGGCTAGCTCTTTCCCATCTGTGACATCAGGACGTGCACTCAGCCGACCCTTGCTTGGTAAGCGCCTCTGCAGGGAGAGACACAGGCCCTCACGGACACAGCTGTGTCTCCATGGCGGGCCATCACCCAGGCCAGGCAGGGGCCTCAGCCAGCTCCTCTGGGGCTGAATGCCAAGGGCCCTCGGACCTCGCCAGAGAAGGAAAACAGGCAAGAAGGAGCCTGAGGGCATGGGAGCCCGTGAGCTTGTTGGGCTCCATCAGGCATTTGACGGAAGTGCTTCGGGGCGTGAAAAATGTCAGGGAACCTGGAGGAAGAGGGAAGGAGAGCCATCACCGTCTTCTGGAACATTGATTTAAAAACACGGAAGGGCTCAGGAAACCCCGAAGGCAGGAACGTCAAAAAATACCTCCATCGAAGACGTTTCGTCTCTCCAGTGACTGTTAGCGCAGGTTGAGGACCAGCTGCCAGGCCCCGGTGCCTGTGCCCCAGGAGCTCGCTCGCCCGCAGCGTCTCACACAGGGGGCACAAAATGGTGCCCAAGAGGAGTCCCAGGAGGGGGCTGGTGCGCTCAGTGCGGAAAGAGCAGCGAGGAGCCCCAGAGAGAAGAGGTTCTGCCGGGTGGCAAGCCTGGGTAAAGGGCCCCCTGCCTGCCTTGTCTGGGGAGGGGACCCCGCAGAGCCCCCGGCCCACCCAGCCACGGGGAATGGGAAGAGGGCTGGCTCTGAGGCGACCGATACCCCAGTGAAGTGCCCAGGGTTGTGGGAGGCCGCGTTTTTTTCTTCCTCCTGACAGATGGCACCTGAGGCGAAGCAGCTGGGCGGCCCCGGGCAGGCCTTGCCCTTGTTCTCCAGGCCCCAAGTGCAGAACCGTTCAGGCTGCTAGTTTTGAGAGCCGTGGGTGAGACGGCCCCTGATCAGGGCCATGTTCATGGATGGACTCCCCCCACCCACACGTGCCACCTCCTGGCCCCAGAGCCTGCCTCTGAACAACTGCGCCAGCCGGGGAAGAGGGACCACCTCGGCATTCCGTGTCTCCGCGGGCAGGAAGCTCGGAGCCTGGCACTCAGGGCCACCTTCTGTAGCCCAGCTGCTGTGCTCACTTGTCCTGCTCCCTGGAGGAGGAGGAGTGTTCTGGTGTGGCCTCCCAGGGACACATAACCCGTTGTGAAACTCACTTCTTGGGGCGCACGCGGGGTCTCTTGAGAAGCTGGGAGGAGAGCAAAGGACAGATGCGACAGCTCGTTGAAACCCTGGGCAGCTTTTGGAGGATGTAAGGCCACTTGACCCCTCCGTGCTGCTGAGCAAACACTGCCTCAGAGCACCTACCGGAAGCCCCTTGGAGAAGGTGGCGGTGGCACTGAGCCACCAGGCGCCCCTCCCCTCGGGAGTTTGGGCCCCAGATTGGAAGGGCGCTAAGACCCCAGGGCTGAGGAAGGACTTGCAAGGTGGCCCCATGAAGGGAACGTGGGGCCTGGTGGCTGCGGCCCAGGATGCAGGGAGCAGCTCATTCTTCACTGTCTACTTGTCTGTACTTTGAAATTTGTCTACTAGAGGAGGCGCCCGGGTGGCTCAGTCGGTTCAGTGTCCGACTTCGGCTCAGGTCATGATCTCACAGTTCGTGAGTTCGAACCCCGCATCAGGCTCTCTGCTGTCAGCGCAGAGCCTGCTTCGGATCCTCTGTCCCCCTCTCTTTCTGCCCCTCCCCCACTTGCACACACATGCTCTCTCAAAAATAAACATTTTGAAAATTATTAAACTTGTATACTGGGAACAAGTGTTAGCTAATGAAATATACATTATACATATTCACATGTATGTTTGTAATTGGAAACACATGCATAGAGAGAGATGGGTTTATATCCCTGACTTTATATCCCTCCAGGTCCCTTTCGTGCCTCCTTCTTCTCTGCTCTCCAGGCTCCCAGGGAGATTCTGGAGCTGGGCCAGCATCTCTAAGATGTGCCCATTTCCCCTGTATTAGGGAGGACCTTCAAGGTTGTGGAGAAGAACAAGGGTGGAAACTGACCAGGCCCCCACAATCTGTTGTCACCTTTTCCTTACAACACTTACTTCCCGTGGATGGGGAAGCTGAGGCCCCCAAGCTTGGCCAGCCTGACCAGGGTAGCTTAGCAGCCCCAGGTCTGCCTTGCCACCAAAGCTCACACTGTGCTTAGAAAAAGCCACACGTCCTCCTTGGGATGCGGATGAGCCCGCAGCCCCGAGTTGGCCGTGGCTGTCCTTCAGAGTGGTCTGCACCTCCTGGCCTGGAGTGTGGGGAGCAGCTCACGTTCACACCCAGAAGAGCTCCTTCCCTGCTGTCCCTGCCCTGACTGTCGGCCAGCCAGAGCTCAGCAAGTGTGAGCTCCCCCTGTGTGACCCTGATGAGAGCCCTTCTGCCAGGCTCCACTTGCCACAGCCCACGGTGCGCTTGATGAAGAACCTGAGATAAAGTTAGCTGTGGAAACGAGTGGAAAGAAAAGCTGGGGTGAACTGAGGGGCTTTCAAAAGAGAAAAACCTCTAATCATCTTATTTCCGAGTTTACCTTTATAGTATTTCAAACTGTGTGGAATAATACTCTCAAGGAAATGTCAAGGAGCCTATGTTAATAAATTGAGGACCAATTTCTCAGTCCCAAAATGAGCCCAATCACAAGGTAGTAATTTGCAAATTAGAGAGAGAGAGTGTGCACACAAGCACAAGTGGGGGCACAGAAGGGGCAGAGAGAGAGGAAGAGGGAGAATCCCAAGCAGGTTCCATGCCGTCAGCTCAGAGCCCAATGTGGGGCTCGATCTCAGGAGCCACGAGATCATGAGCTGAGCCGAAGTTGGATGCTTTAACCAATTGAGCCACCCAGGCGCCCCAAATTAACAGGATTTCTGATCAACACTTAAGCTCAAATACATTCTGCTTTTTCAGCTAAGTGGATGCTGTCTTAGAGGTAAAAGGTTCTTGAAGGGGCCCTTCCTGCCGCCCTGAGACATCCTGCACTTAAGCCCACTCTGTGCCCTTCCAGCGCCCTTGTCGGGCCACGCTCCCTGCTGGCGCCCGGCCCTTGGGGTTTTGGTCTTTGGGGGGGAGTTAGGAGCGGCTTCTTTCTACACCCACCCCAGCCTGTCCACTTTCAAAACTGTTTCTTTGCTCTGTCCCTCTCAATAAACCAGATCCCCAGCCCAGTTACCGCCAGAGAGCAGCTTCCGGCTCAGATCCCCTCAGTTCCATCCTGTGTCTGTGTTAAACAAGAGAAGGGGCCTTGTTGACAAATGACTGTCCCCTGTTTGGAATGACGTCACCCTGGGGGTCCTGACCCCACCTTCCAGGCCCCTTGCAACACACCCAGCAAGCGGGACACGGGGCAGAGCCCGAGGAGGCCCCAGCCGCGGAGTAGAGCTGGGGGGTGGGTTCTCTGCTCCCCTCGGGTCCCCGCCACCTTGAGGACACCACTAAAGGTCTGCCTTGTGGGTCCTTTCAGTGTTTGTAAGCGGTGTATTCGGAAGATGGACCACCACTGTCCCTGGGTCAATAACTGCGTCGGCGAGAACAACCAGAAGTACTTTGTCCTGTTTACAGTAAGTCAGCTTCCGAATCCTGCCCCACCCTCCACCGAGCGATGGAGCGCTTTGGGCCTCCGAAAATTCTCAGCACGCAACGATGGTTTTTGCTGCTGTTCCAAATACCGCGTGGCCATGTAGACCTGCGCCTTTCTGCCAAAGCACTCCTAGCTCAGCCACGGCCTGCTCGTAGGCCCTTCGCCTGAGCGTCTAGAACACGGGCTCAAGCGGGTTGGCTCTAAGCAAGGGCCTTGTTCCCGTCCCAAGCGTCCAGTCTGAGTAGCTAAACAAGGCAGTTCCGGTGATGACAACAAGCCCTCCCTCAGCTGCAGGTGGATAGAGGATAGTGTGAGGACTAGAGCACCTACTGGCAGTCAGCACCTTGACTTTCCGAGTGAAGGGAAGCCACGGGCCCGGAGCGCCCCCGCCCACCCAGGGCCCTGGTCACGCCTGGTCACGGGCGCTCGTCCGTGCACTCCTGGTGAATAGCTGCTCGCCTGGGTCCCGGGCCTGGGGTGCCAGACCGGTAGGGCAATCAGCAGATGCCTCCCTGGCTCTCTCCTGGTCGACCCTCAGCCTGACTGAGAGTTCCAGAATGGGAGGTTCTGAGGGCCCCTGCCCCGGGAGCCTGCGCGGTCAGAAGGTTCTCACAACAATGGCGTTTGCCCTGCTTTCCTGTTTCAGATGTACATAGCTCTCATTTCCTTGCACGCCCTCGTCATGGTGGGATTCCACTTTCTGCATTGCTTTGAAGAAGACTGGACAAGTGAGTATATGCCAGGGCCTCCCTCCCTGCCCCCCCGGGGCAGTGTGTGACCCAGGCGGGGCGGGCTCTCGGTTTGTCTCATGGTGCCAGGGGCCAACCCCATTTTATCAGATCAGCAGCAAGCCTACGGACTGCCCAGGGAAGGGACAGCAGAGGCCCGAACCTCTCTTCATGAAATAAAGCAGCCCCTTAAAAGTTCCACAGGTAAAGTAGTGAGGCGGACAGACCGCATAGCCCGAGCGCGCCTGGGGGAAATGCAAACCCCCCCCCGCCCCCCAGAAGCACGTCCCAGGGCGTGGGAGCCCTGCCGGGGAGAGGACCTTTGCTTCTGTGTCTTTAAGAAGAGGCACTTTAATCAAAAGTCATTTCCTTCCGATCTCCTGGAAATCCGTCTTGAACTTTGGGGTTGTTTTGTTTTGTTAGAGGTTGTCTTTTAACTGCATAATTCCCAATCTACGTAAAGATCCTAGAGCAAAGCTTCCCCCTTTAGAAGTACCCGTCTCACGGCGCAAACACCAAGGAAGGAGCTCCAACCAGACGACCGCATAAATCCTGAGGAAAAAGTAGATGCTGAAGGAAGTCAGTGCCGTTTTGTGATTTTTAAAGGAGAATAAAAAAATAAGAGATAAGGAAAAGAATTTTAAATAGGTGCTGGAGGAATTAAGAGAGGCCACGTGCTGGGTGAGATCTCGCACACACACGGTCCGTGAGAGCAGAAACATCAGACGGGTGCCCGTTTTCATTCTCCCGTCTTCCAGAAGTTTTGCTCTTCCCGCACGTACTGTCTTCTCGGCTATCTTGCTGGTCCTGTTCCGCAGAACCGGGGAGCCCGTGGGAAGCGGGGGATCTTTAGCTCCCAGCCGGCTGCAAAGAGACTTTCCCTGCCTCTGCCCGTGGTTTGTCATCCGCCGCCTTCCGCCCTCTGTGGCCCTGCCCCCTGCCCTGTCCGGCCCAGCCCCGCCTAGGGGAAGAGACCCCGCAAGTCTCCGTCTGTGCGCTGCCGTGACCAAGTACCATGGACTGGGTGGCCTAAGCATTTATCTCTCACCGTCTGGAGGCTGGGAAGTCCAGGATCAAGGTGCCGTCCGGTTCAGTTCCTGGTGCGGGCTGTCTACCTGGCTTGCAGACGGCCACCTTCTCCTGTGACCTCACACGGCAGAGAGAGGAAAGCAAGCTTTCTGGTGCCTCTTATACGGGCACTAACCCCACCGCGAGGGGCCCCTACCATCACAACCTCGTCTAACCCTCAATACCTCCCCAAGTCCCCATCTCCAAATATATAATATCACCTGGGGGGTGGGGCTTCCAAATAGGAGTTTTGCAGGTGACACAATTCAGTCCATGTCCCCGTGTCCCCCAGTTTGCGTGACTACTGCATTTCTGGCGCCAGCCGGAGAGGGGTGGGTCAAGCTGGTAGATAGTGGGGAGAGGAGTAGGGGCATCCACAGCATCCTGCGTAGCTGGGCAGGGCACCAGCACGTTCCTCGGCGAGCATTCTGAATGTACACGTATCCTGCCAGGCCCTGGGGATCCAGTCCAACTCCAGACGTGGCCTTGGCGACTTGACGGTGGAGTCTGACAAGGACGTTCTATCAACCCCATCGCACCCCCTACCCCCCGCCGTCGGGCTAACAGACACAGGCAGTGATGAGAGTGACACTCGCCATCAATGAGGCAGAACGTCTCTGTCTTTGGCTCGCAGCTGGCAGGGGCCATTTCATTAATGCCTGCCAAGAGCCAGCGTGAGCAGTGCCTTATTTCAGCGTCACCACAAGCCCGCAGGGCGGGAGAGATGCTCCCACTTAGCAGATGATGAAAGCTGGGGCTCACAGGGGTCGAGCAAGTCCCCAAGCTCACACAGCTAAGAAGAGGGCCGTGACTCAAGCGCCAGCCCGGAGCGGGCTCTTCCAGCCCCGCCTGGATGACTCCAGTGCCCCGGGTCCTCCCTGCATGTGCTTGATCATCTGCAGTCAAGGTCCGTGACCAAAGAGGCTTGGGGCACCAGTTCCTGTGGCAGCTAAGGCTAGGAGGACCGTCCCCAAAGCGGAAGCCTGAGATTGGCCGTGCGTGACGGTCACCACCATCACTGCTCAGCCGTGGATGAGCGGCCTTGCATCCAGCTTGTGCAAGAAGGGAGTGTCCCCAGAAGGAGGGCATTTGAGTTGATGTTGAGAGAAGGGTCGAGCGGTAGTTCCGCGCGCCCTGGGTCTGGCTTCTGCCTCCCCCACTCCATTCGTAGTCCCCGGGGCCCACTCAGGAGGCCATGGGTGGAGGACATGCCATGGCCCTGGGCTCTGCCGCCAGCTCCAGCCCCAGGGCAGCCCAGGTGGCTAACGAAGGAGCAAGGACCTCCGTCCGGGGAGCACCCGCCACGTGCTCACCCTGGGCCGGTGCCGAGCTGTGCAGATGCTCTCCCGTGCATTCCTGAGCGGACCGCCGAACCAGAGCTCAGAGAGCCCCGGCCTTGTGCCCACATTCTTTCGTTACCCGGCGCTGCTCCGAGGCTGGTCGTACCGCAGGGAGCCAGCGTCCCTTCCTCCTGGAGCCGGAGTTGTGCTGGGAAAGGCAGGCAGGAGGCAAGGGCGGGAAGAAACACGACCGCACGGTGTGCGGGACGGGAAAGGCGCAGGAGCCAGAACGGAGTCTCTGTGGCGGCATCTTAGTAGCAGCTTGTGGTGGGGAGTTTCTTCCAGGATCCTCACCCTGCTGCGTCTGCCTGACCGCAGAACCGTTGGCCTGCCCACCACCCGGCCTAGCACAGAGGCAATAAGGGAAACGTCTGGAGGCATTGTTACGTCCCGAGAGAAACGTGAGGAGATCAAGGCATTTGGAGGAGATGTTCCTCACCCCCACCACCCATACGGTGCCCATTCCCAGGTTTGACCTCCCTTGCCCCTCCGCACCTTCCTGTGAGGGAGGCGGCAGGGTGGCTCAGAGGGGCACCGAATCCCCAGATTCCCTGAGTTCCCAAAGCCCAGGGAAGCCCGACCCTGCCAGGACCCCTCCAGCCAGGGAAACAGGCCTGAGCACCGGGGCGACAAGAAACGCGCACCACGACCCGGGGTGACAGGCCCAGGCGGCTGTCAGCGGGGGCAGGAGTCCCACGGTAGTGAGCACTGTCAGCTGGGACCCCCACCACCCAGTGTCTCCCCCAGGTGCCCCCGCTGAGGGAGACCTCACCGTCTCCCATAACACCTCTGCTTTTGTCTCCATTTGCGGGGGGCGCGGGGCGGCTTCTGAGTTAGACTTGGTTCAGACAGAGGATTCTGCTGTTGAAGACAGAGCAGTGAAACTTCGCTGCTGTACCGAGGAGGGAGCGGAGGCCTGGACGGTCAGCCTGGGCTCGGAGAGAGGTTGGGAGAGTGAACGCGCCAGGCGGCCCTCCAGTTGGACTGACCGTCTCAGTGATGCGGACGCTCCCGAGAAGGACGTTTCCCACGGGGCTTGTTTCACTCCCGGCTCGGGGCCAAGCCCGGCAGCCAGGCTGCCCCCTCGTAAAACCTCGAGTCCCAGAACCACTTGAGTGATCCTCCAGATGTGCCCCTTCCGGTCACCCAGAAGCAGACAGAGGGACCAGAACGTCCAGAAAATTCACAGCCAGACCAGAACCAGACTGAGGCCGCTCCACCTGTACAGCCCACGTTGTGCTGAGGAGAGGAGGGCCTCCCTGCCTTCATGCCTCAGCCCCGGGGGCCCTTCTGGGTCCTTCCATGTGCTTGGCACCAGGATACAGACACACTGGCTAGGAAAGAGAGTGACCAAGGAACAGGGGTTAGGAGGGGCGGGATGGGCCCCGCCAGGCCAGGAGGAGCCGAGTCCCGCCGGGCCGAGCAGTGTGAGTGGGCGGGGGTGGGCGGCAGCCCCAAGTCCCACATGCCCCTTTTCTTCCAGAGTGCAGCTCCTTCTCGCCACCCACCACGGTGATCCTCCTCATCCTGCTGTGCTTCGAGGGCCTTCTCTTCCTCATTTTCACATCAGTGATGTTTGGGACCCAGGTGCACTCCATCTGCACAGACGAAACGGTAAGCGGGCGGCCTGCCCACCAGCTCCAGCCCTGGGCTCAGGGCATGGGAGGGGCGGGGGTGTGGTCAGCTTGCAGGCCAGACCCGGGAGCCCAATGGCCAGGACCCAGGTGTGCAGGGTGTGCATGTGTGCACACACACACACACAGATCCCTCCTTGGGGCCGGCACGGCAGGTTGCACCAGGAGTGGGACCCAGCAGCCTTGGGAAGGCTGCTTGTTGGCAAAAGACCTTCCGTCCTCCCTTGATGGTTCTGTCTTGCACACTGTGCTGTGTCAGGCACTCTGCTGGGCCCGGGGACATCCTTCCCACCCGACGGCCCTAGGCCTGCAGAGAGGATGATGGACAAAGGAAGGGTGCCTTAGCTGGCACGGGCAGGGTCAATTTCCCACAGGAGGTGACTTCACGAGCAGGTCCAGAGGGCGGAGTCAGGAATCAGCCTGCCTCAGACCCCACCGAGCGGTGGGCAGGGGCTCTCACCTGGCCTCTAGGTACCTCTGCCTGGCCCAGCTCGTCGTTTGCCTTCTCCCCACACCCCACCCCTACCTCCACCCTACCCACAGCCCCACCTCTGGGAACTTTCAGGCAGCTGGCTGGGCAGGACTGAGGCCCACTCACCCGGCGCCACGGACGACACCGCTTCCTGACTGTCCTAAGTGTCCAAAGCCTCAAGGTGGTCAATCCATTGCTCTGATGTGGGCATTTCTTCCTTTTTCGGCTTTGGGTTCCAGACGAGGGGCCCCAGGTCGTAGGTCCCTCCCGCCACTATTCCTGCCTTCCCAAGGTCCCCCCTCAGGTGGCAAGCCTTGGTCATCTACGGGCCCTCCGGGGCGGCTCTGGGCCTGCTGACTAGTCAGCCTCAGGTGGTGGCTCATAGGAAGACACACTCCCTGCCCCTGCTGCCTAGGCCCCTCCCTGCGGGTGTGGAAAATCAGGCTTTTACCCTCCCGGCAGCCAAGGCAACATCGTTTAGATCGTGGGGATCCCCGGCGGTGTAGAATGTGGGGGCTTGGGGGGCTCTCGGCAACTTTTTTATCCTTTATAAGAGCTGGCGTCATTGTAAGAGTTTCTTTCAAAATAGTAGCCCATGGTATAGTTCCAGCTGTGTGTCCAAGCAGTAAATGCAGCCAACTTCTCTGCATAAGACCTGCAGGGACCCCAGAGGTGACCGGCCCGGCCCGCCCCCTGTTGGATGCTGCCAGGCCCCACAGGCCGTGGTGTGGGGGAGCCCGAAGGAAAGCTCACACAGCCCGGGCCCTAGTCGTTCTACCCCTTCAGGGCCTTTCCTGAAGGGGATTGTGTTGGGAAGGAAAGGAGAAAAGAAGGAAGGGCCCCGCTTGGGAAGGGATGCCTTCCCCTCCACCTGCATCCACCCAGTCCCTGGCCATGAATAGAGGCTTCACTTAGGCTGGCCCCTCAGGCTCCTCCCTACTCCTCCTCACCAGAGACCACGGCAGCCAGCTGCTCCGGCCAGGCTCCTGCCAGGCTCCTGCCAGGCTGCTGCTCTCCAGTTCTGCCCTCAGGCCCTGCCTGCTCACCAGCTCCATCGGAAGGGGGGAGAAGGGAGGGAACTCTTCCTCCCCAGCCTACTCTCCCCGTGAGACTTTGTGG